AAAAGCTACATTTATATACTAAAAAAGAATGTAAAAATGCAAATCCTTATATAAAGTCCTTGTTATTGTCAAGTTTTGGATATTTAATGTTTGATTTTGAAGCAGAAACAAGCATTCCATGACGTTTTTTATAGGTTGTAACAATCTCTTAAATACTTAACAATCTTTTAAATACTCTAGATATTTTTTTGACCAGACGTTCAACATTTTGAAAATGGCATCAAATATCAGAAACTTGAAGAGTATGGCACTCTTGTAACATTAATTAAGAGGTCTTTATTGTTTATTTCAGATAAAATCAGAGGAGAAGAGATATCAGCTTTTAACCAGTCAATCATTTCCAAATATGAAGGAAAAATTGAGAGAATTCTTTTGTATAGAGAAAACACATATTCCATCATTATTCTCTTTTCTTCTACATGCAATAATTCTGTTTGCTGCATTGACTGCTTTTTTCTTGTCTTTATTCTTGCAGGCTGACAACATAACACTTTCAGTATGAGCAAAATAACAATTTCTTTGAAATACTTTCTGGGCTATTGCTTTTGTATCAGGATGATTAAGACTCTGAAGGCATATAATAATCATGAAAAAATTCCATGCTCCTTTAACACATTTTCAATTTTTCTTGATTAAAACTAACAGAAGTTCAGAACTTTGATGATGTAATCAACATTTTTTATCAGGCTTGTCAAACATTTTAATGAATACTCCACTTATACTGGCAAAAAGTCAACTATAAGTAGAAAATAAACATCAAAAGATAGTTGTTCACCAAGAATGCCTATGAATACAGTAGGACCAGATATACTGCTATCAAGTGCAGTGAAAATTTCTCTGAGAGGCAGCTCATTTAAATGGAGTAAACAAATACACTATTGATGAGAATTGGCATTACCATACCATTTTTGCAGGCCATGTTTACATTGGCTCCATCACAAACAACACTTTGTAAAGTCACAAGAGAATTTCTGCCATTTAAAACTGAAACGATTTCTTTGCAACATCAACAGCTTTATGTGATCAAAGTAGGCGTTGTTGGGATATGATCATATAACATAATGATCTTCTTTGATGGAAATAGTCTTGCTAACTTTACCATCATCTTGTTCTACTAACCAAATTTGATTCCAATAATTTCTATGGCCAATCTGCATATTCTTTGACATCTTTTTGTTGCCACAGGTTTCTTTGTCTTCTTAACCTTGCTGGATCTATTGTGGTGAATTGAATGATACATCTTTCAAGCAAGCGTTAAAGACTTTGCATGCATTTCAGATGCCGACTCCTGTTTGTTCCATTAATTGATCAAGATCTTTGTACTGAAACACACTGCGATATTTAGGATTATTTCCACTAGGCGAGTTGTCTTCTGAATCAGTAGCTTTGTCATATTCCTCACTATCATCGCAACAACTGCTTTTTTTATGACAAAACATGGAATTTTTCTGCATTCTTTTTTTCAAACTGAATTTCTTGTTCTTAATGAATTTTCTGCTTTTTGAATCATTCTGTTTCTTCTTGGGCAATCTGACCAATGTACAGTTGGTTGCAAAAAAAAAAGCCACACTAATTTTTTTTTTTATATTTTAAGCATAAAATGTATAATAATGCAAAACAAAAAAAATTAGATGTGACAGTGAAAAATATAGGGCAGAAAAGGTATGTTTATATATAAACTAATATTTATATAAATAAAATCTTCAAAAAACAGATTATTATGGTCACATTTAATATTTTAGAAAACATCTTACAGATGTAGAAATTGGACAAGTTATTGAAGTTGCTGACCAAGGAGAGTCTCACAGAAGCATTGGAAAGCGTTTTAAATGAGGAAACTCAACTATTAGTAGATTGGTAAAGAAATACAAACACACTGGTAAAACTGAAAGGGCTGTTGGATCTGGGAGAAAACGGAAAACTTCAAAAAAGGAAGATCGCTACATTCTTAATGCTGTCAAAAAAATCGTAAAATCACTCGTTCTGAGATAAAGATAGATTTGAACCTTTCTAATATCTCAAAGTGGACAATATCTTGCAGGATTAAAGCATCAAGTGATTTTTTTTTTTGGAAAGCAACTTAAAAACCTTTTGTTAGTGAAATCAATCAAAAAAAGCGTGTAAAGTGGTGCATTGAGCACAAAGATTGGACATGTAAACAATGGGCTAACGATATCTGGAGCGATGAGTCTCCATTTGTTTTGTATTATAATGGTCGATCTCACTGTTGGAAATTAATTGGGGAAAAATTCAATCCTCAAACGTGCAAGGCAACTATTTAACATGACAAAAAGATTAATGTCTGGGGTTGTTTTAGTGCACACAAAGTTGGAAAACTTTACCGGGTGAAGGGCATTATGGACCAGCATTTGTATCACAAAATTTTAGTTAACCAGCTTGGACCAAGTATAAAAGAACTTTTTCCTAATGGTGTAATAAAATATAAAAATAATAAAATATCTTTCAACAGGATAATGATCCCAAATATACAGCACCGTTGAATAAAAGATATCTAGAATCTAAATTGATTCCAGTTATGTCTTAGCCAGCACAGTCTCCTGATTTAAATAAAAAGATCATAGGGCAACAAATGAAGATGATCTGTTCCAAATTCTTCTTGATGGTTGGAATGGTTTGCCAAATGACTTATTAAAAAGACTTGTAGATAGTATGCCTTCTAGATGTGCGGAAGTCATAAGAAACAAAGGATGGCCAATTAAATACTAAAACAGCTTTAACCTAAAAAATACTTTACAAATCCTAATTTCTTTTTATTATATGTAATATACAATTATATTATAAACATTTTTATCAATATTGGCTGTAATAGAAGTAACATCGTATGAGTTTTAGACATTTGTTGTTGTTTTTATAAAAAAAATTGAGTGTGGCTTTTTTTTTGCACCCCACTGTACATTTTATGATTACTTTTTTAATCAAACCAAAACTCCCATTTCTTAAAAGGAACTTTGATAGAACAATTGCAGTTTGACGGGTCGCTGATACCACAATTAACACATTTGCAAGGAAATTTGTTCTTTCAATAAAGTATTTGACATAATTTCAAATACTTAATTGAACGAACCAAGTTGGCACTAAAGCATAGCTAAATTTCTCTTTTCATTAACATATTTTCTCAATTGTATTGTATCAGTAACCAATTTATCCAAGTTTTTCAGAATGTTGTTATATGAACTTTTAGGCATTCCCACCCTCTACCATATGTTTACCCAATCATCAGCTAAATTCTTATTTCTTTTTATCTGTTTTCTTGTCTCTGATTGATGGTTCTTCAGATTCTAAGAATTGTGAGAAAGTCTTTGAGTGTCCAATGTATGGAAAATGCTTAAAGACTTCTGCTTTTTTCTGCAGATAACTTTCTAATAATTTACAAGGTTGGCCAAATACTGAGTGTGTCACTTCTGGTTTTGATAATTTTTTTTTATCAAGTTCATTATGCAGTCTAAAAAGAATAAGAATAAAAAATCATTTAAAATCCATGTTAACAATAAATTAATAAAAACATGTCATGTTCTCTTGTGAACGTAAATATCAAGTCCCCACAAATCAGTACACAAACCTTCAAACAATTCTACAATGCGTTAAACTTTAACATTAACAGTCATATTCAAAGTATGCAAATTTCAATATTAATATTACAATATGCATTCAGAGCACTCACTATATTGTGAGTGTTGGATTATCGTGATTGTATATTGAAAAACAACTATCTGGTAGTTGTTTTTCAATATACAATCGTAATGAACCAATATATTTATTACAAAATAACTCGATAAATTACCAATCAAAATAACTGTCAAAATAATAATAATAATAATAATAAACTGACAGTAAAATTAAATAAATAAGTTTATAGTATAATGTGAAGTTTGTTTATTAAGTGAGGGACTTTCCCATTTAATGTGAAGGGCTTCTTTTATCTTTAATTTGTGTTTGGTTGGAGCATTATCCAAAATCTCCAAAGAATCACAATTAGTCAGATTTTTGCAATTAATAGATAAATATAAGTGTTTTAATATATGAGATTGTTTACCACTTTTGAGGTGCTTATTTATTCTAGTTGCCAAATGTCTGGAGGTTTCTCCAATATAACTGGTATTACAGCCAGCGCAAGAAAATTTATAGACAACATGAGGTTTAAGCAGTTTATCTAAAAGAAATGTAAGAAAAATAAAATCAATGGAAACTATTTCCATTGATTTTATTTTTATTATATTTCTACTAATGTTAAGAAAAGTCTGTCATTAGAAAAAAAAATTGGTTTATAGTTATTTTCTTTGTATTTTACATCTGATTTTAAACCATTGTTTTTAAATAATATGTTACTTAATGACATAATTTGTTCTTAAATAATAAGACTAAAATATCAAAACTTATGAAATTAAGTTTTACTTTAAAAATTGCATAATAAAAAAGTCACAGATTGAAAACCGCGGTTCCCTGGAGAAAGAAATTTAGTCAGCTATTCTATTGATCTCTTTGATCAATTTGAGTATTTTATTACTCAGAATAAAAACCTGCCTGATTTTAGAGAAATGCAACTTGAATTTCATAAAAGTCAAAGCGTGTGAAACAGTTCCATTTTTGTTGATTTTCACCTATAGTCTGATTTTTCTGCTATTATTTTCACGATAGTGAAATATAGTCACGATAATTTCTGCTCTTAAAAGTTTATATTTAAATAGTTATAAAATTAGAAACTTGTTCATTTTGTTATTGCAAAAAGTTATTTTAAAGTGAAGCAGTTTTATCTTTACCTTATTATTTTTAAACCTTTTATGGTTTTATGATATAAATAGTTTATTCCCCAGTTTAACAGTTTGATTTACAGCTACGGCTATATGAAACTTTCTGACATGATGGCAGGAGGTAAACAAGAATAATAGTTGGCGAGGAAATTAGCTAATCTTGTACAAACTCTGTTTAAACAGCCTGAGTTTTAAATGGGTGAACTGAATGAGATAAAAGGCATCTAACAAATTTCTAATTGTGTATTGGGCCTCAACGCTATCCTGTTTAAAAAACACTTTTTTTTTAAATTTCATAACGAATTTGTGCGTTTTTAAAATACCAACAGTTAACAAAAAATAATAGAAAATAAAAATGCGCACACTCTGTATAGATAAAAACCTTCCAATACTTGTAATGATGTTATTATATAGTCCATGATTTGTGAACTTCTATTTGCGCCGATTGTTTGAAAATGCCCATAAAAACTTTAAAAGAGTGGTGCGAGTATAAATAGTCATCTAAAATAAAAATATTTCATAAGAAAACAATACCTAGGGAATATTTTACAACACTTCGCATATTAAAATTTGTTCATGAGGGTCAAAGTGGGATTGGCTATTATAAATATATATATATATATATATATATATATATATTTATATATATATATATATATATATATATATATATATATATATATATATATATATATATATATATATATATATATTCATTTTCATCTTTTAATAGGTTGTATTTGCAAGTGTAATAAATTGGCTTATGAATTTTTTTTTGAAAATAAACCTTGGTGTTTCTGTGTTACGTCAACTTCGACTTATGAGACTCTTTAAATTTACATCGTAAGTCTAACAAAAAAAAATTTTTACTTTTTTAAAAAAAATATTAACTTTTTATAATAGAAATTTAAAATACTGTTTAATATAAAATTTAATAAATAAAAATTTATAAAATATGATAAAAGGTTTTAAGTTTTTCTATTAGGTGAAATCTAAATGTTTTTTAATGTAAAGATTTTTCTTAAGTTTTAGTGTTATAGTTTAAACATTAAAAATTTTAAAAGATTTTTATGATAAAGTTTAACAATACTGTACTTTGTTTAGACATTGGAGTTCATTGAAAAATTTAATTGCATCAATCTTAGCTAGCATGACATCAATCATGAGTTTAGTAGTGTTGCTATTACTTTTCCTTATGATTTTTGGGTTACTTGGCATGCAACTTTTTGGTGGACAGTAAGTTTATTTAATTTAATTTTGTTCATTTTACTTAAATCTTAAGTTTAATTGTTTAAAATTTAACAATTAATTTATCATTTTTTATAACAATTAACATTTTACTAAAGGGATGTCTTTTAATTAAATCACACAATTTTCAATTGTTTTTGACAACCTTGTTACATTATGGTAATTCTTTAGTAAGAAAATGCATACAAGTCATAAAACCACTAACCTCTCCCCCTCTCCCTCTCCCTAGAGTGTGACAATTTTTGGATGACCAATGAAATGAATGATAATAAAAAAACTTTACAAAAATTACACTTGTTACAATTGCTTTGATTTTAATATTTCTCATAATTAACGTTTTCTCTTAGTTACTTAATTCTATTTTTAGGAAATATATAATACTTAAGATTGTAAATAAATAAGTTCATGAAAGTATTACATAACTATTTTATTAATATTATTACTTATTATGCCTTTAATTTATTTTAAAATAACATATAAATATAATAAGTATGTATGTTGTGACTTTCAATTTTTTTTGTGAGGAGAGATCTTTCATATATAATTAATACCCAGTATTATATCAAAAGGTCATTTTATAATAATGTGCACAATTTTGAATATATTTAAAAATATATATTCATTTAATAAAATTTATTACTAAAAAAACGTTAAATATTTACCAATAAAAAGCCAATACTTCTGTAATGGTACTTTTATTTAAGCCTTCTTTGTGTTATGGAAGCTTCTTTTTGTAAAAACTTTAGCATATATTTTTCTCACCGATAGCTCATCCTGCTTTCTAAAAGGTATCTGAGTACACTTTATTTTTAAGAATTTCTCAAAATTATACTAGATTTTTTTTTTTTTGTTATCAGCGGTATCTTTAGAGTTTGTAGTCAAAGTCTGACTGATTTAAGTGTGAAGAAATTAAATATGTATTTACCAATTATTTAATGTTTCTGAGTGAATGAGACCAACCACTTGATTAAATTTTTTTTAATGTACACTTCTTAATTATTACCTGTTCATTTTGTCTAGCATGGGTTTTACTTACAGCTTTGATATAAAAACTCGTTAAACTGGAACTTCTGGCTAACAGGAGTCATTACCAGTTAGTAGTGCATTGCTAAATATGAAAATGTTAGAATTTTTATAGTTGTAGAGTTTACTCTGAATTTTTATAGTTATGTAATAACCATTTATATTTTAACAACAGTATTTCTATTTATTTTGTTAATTTATAGCGTAAAACTAGCTTTTTTATGTTCCTTAATATTTCTAATATGGTTTGTAACTATATATATATAGTTACATATGTGTGAATATATATACATAAATATATACACACATATTAACATATATGCATATATGTATATATATATATATATATATATATATATATATATATATATATATATATGTATATAGTTATATATGTATATAGTTATATATATATATATATATATATGTATATATATGTATATATATATATATATATATATATATATATATATATATATATATATATATATATATATATATATATATATATATATAAACTTTGAGTATTTTCAACATAATAGGTTGAAGTTAACTAATCCACGTTCAAATTTTGATGACTTCTTTAACGCTATATTAACTGTTTTTCAAGTAAGTTTTTTTAATCTGTTATTTTTTAAATTTAATTTCTTTTTTTAAAGTTTTCAAACTGATATATACCACTTTTACTTAAATCTGCTTGCTTTTAAATTGCCTTATCGCTCTGTATCCTATTTAAAAAACAGTTACCTACCTGACCAATAGAAATCAGCAAACATAATACCAATTCCTAAAATATCTAACCCGCTCTCATCTAATGGCTACCGTCTGATTGCTATTGCATTCATATTATGCAAAGTTTTTGAATGCATTATTACCAGTTTCATTATTCATCACACTAAGCACATATGAATCTCAAACAAACAGTTTGGTTTTCTTCCAGGACATTATACAATGGGTGCTACTATTTAATTTATAGAGGGCTGGAGTTATGGTAAACATAATAACAAATCAGTTTTTGCAATATTCTTTGATTTTACAAAAGCATTTGATCTTGTCAGTCATGACAAGGTACTGTTAAAGTTAATAAATATTCTACCTAGCTGGCTCACTTCCTGGATTGCAGCTTACTTATCTAATCATTGCCAAAGAATTAAAACAAATGATCTCACCATTGACTGGAAATGTATTGCAGCCAGACTTCAAGCTAATGTTTCTTGGTCCATCTTTGTTCATTTTTTTCATTTTTGACATTAACGTCCATCTCCCACCTGAAACCATTCTCCAAAAATATGCTAATGACATCTTAACTTATATAATCTATGTTAAAGTTCCTCTCAACTTACATTAATCAATTGTAGATGGTGTTGCACTATGGTCTGTTGTTAATGGAATGAAACTTATAGCTCTAAATGTAAAATCATTAGAATTAATACTAGGTGTTTGGAAATTCAAGTTATACTTTCTCTTGTACTCAACAATACTGAGCTTGAAAAATTCAACAGCCTGGAATCATGCTCAATGAGAATCTTGATTGGAATGAACAATGGATAAAAGTGCACAATGATATAAAATCAGTACCATATCTACTCAAACGCCTTAAACAAATTGAACACGCTCAGCTCAACCTTCTACAAATCTATAGATCTTATTCACTTGATATATAGTGCTCCTGTTCTTACTTCGTGTAGTCCTGCTGCAAAAAAGGAGATGCAGCATTTCATAAAAATGCTTTAAGCATTATTGGAATTGATGTAACCAATTCGAGAAGCTTCAATATTAGTTTTACCATCAAAGAGTTAATAGACAAGATCTGCATTAATATCTTTTAAAAGAGCCTTGCTGACTCATGCCATCCTATCACCACTCAATTAGCTCACACCAACAGCAGAAACCCAAAAAGATTACCAATTGCTCTGAACACTGCAATGACCACCACCTATCAACAATCTTTTATTGAAAAATACCTCTGTATTCTTCGTAATGGTGTCAACAATTGCAACAAAAAAATTGGGAGCTCCACTTTCTTTTCAATACATAAATATGTTTGCCTGCATTTTTGGCAACCTTTCTTTTTAGTATTTAATGATGGATTAAATTGTACAATTCATTACTTGTAATCCTATTCAATTTTAAATAAAGATATATAAGTAGATAAATAAAACAAAATAAAAAAAAATTAATCATAAAACAAATAAAAAGACCAAAAACTTAAACTTAAAGATTAAAAATGCTAAAAAAAAATTGTGTTAATTATAGCAATGGATTGAGCTATCCTTATTTATTTTAATTTTAATTTATAAGTTTTCTCTTTCTTTTTAGATTGTCACAGGTGAAGATTGGAATAACACAATGTATGAAGGAATTAATGCGTATGGAGGACCATTAAAAGCAGCTGGCCTTTCAGTTTCATTGTATTATATATTATGCACATGTCTGGGAAATTGTATCTTTTATATAACTTATATATTTAAAATAACATTACTCAATAATTATAAAAATAGCTTGCCTCAGAAGCTTAAGATCCATGGTTCAACACCACCTCCAGGCAAGTTTTACAGTATTGGTAAGGAGGAAGGCATGAAAGATATCTTATTACAATACAACATTATACAAATTATACATGTTATATATATATATATATATATATATATATATATATATATATATATATATATATATATATATATATATATATATATATATATATATATATATATATATATATATATACATATAAATATAATATATATACATATATATATATATATATATATATATATATATATATATATATATATATATATATATATATATATATATATATATATACATATAAATATAATATATATATATATATATATATATATATATATATATATATGTATACATATACATACACATACACATACACACACACATATATATATATATATATGTATATATATATATATATATATATATATATATATATATATATATATATATATATATATATATATATATATATATATATATATATATATATGTATATGTGTGAAAAAAAGTGTATCATGGTGCCCACTCTCCCCTATACAAAAATACTCTAATTCAAAGTAATAAATCTGAACTAATATTTTTTACAAAATAGGCTTAAAACTATTTAATTCTAGCGCGGCTTGCGGTCAAGTGTGCATTTTTGAACAGCTGTTTTAGCATAATTTCAATAAAATTTAATATGCTGAATCGAGATTTACCAGTTCGGCAACTTTAAAAGCCTGTTTGCACTGAAAGTTTTTGTTTTTATTGATTATTGAAAGAATTATTTTCTAATTTTTCAGGCCAATTTTCACTTATTTTTTTTTTAGTTTTGAAATATAAAGTTTTTGCTGACAACAAGTAAAAACAATGCATGCGCTAACTCTCATCTTTGTAAGATTTTATCTTCAAGCCAGGCATAATAAATAGGCAGGTCTGCTTTTGGTACACTGACAATACATTAATTAATCCATTTTGAATTTAAGAAAAAACAAAATAAATGTAAAAAGTAGCAAATGCAAACAAAACCAATCTTTACTATAAACAGCAAATGCCAAATGTCATAAAACATTTACATAGAAAAAAAACCATTGAAGCAGAAATTAGACAAATAAATATGATAAATTCATAGAAAGGATCCATCTTTAACACCTTTTCTATAGATCACTTATTTCATAGAACAGAACCAATGTTAAGTTGGTTCAATTATATGAATTAATAATTGTTGTTTCAGATTTTATTTTTGAATGGTTCCTTTCCCTGAAATGGTATGAATCTTTTAGGAATCTTTGATATTTTAAAGCTGTATTATTACATAAAGCTGTATTATATACATTTTGCAGTTTCCTTCTGTTTAATGTTGTTCATTTAACTCTATATTTTTAAGACAAAGTTGTGTTTCTATTATCTAGAAAAAATTGAAATAAAGAGTAATGATTAATTTTTAAAATTTATCCAGGTATTACCTAGATAGTTTTATCAATTACTTTATTCTCAATATTATAGCAACCAAAATGATGGCGTGAGTTATCATCACTCACATTATCATTTTGGTTGCTATCATAGGTACTTTTAATAAAAAGAAATAAGTTTTGACAGAAAAAAATAAAAAAGTTTTATAAATTTTAAGTTCAAATTACATTTCTTAATTAAGTTATTTGTAGAACTGACACATCAATCAAAGTATCAAGGATGTTGTTGCCCTATCTGTTTATTATTTTGTTGCAAATAATCCAAATGCTGAAAAAGCAATTGATTGTTGTTTCTTTGCTCTTTTATTTCAAATTTTTCCAGGAGAGCATAGCTTATTAAATATTATTCTTATAATTACATTCTTTTAATTATTATTATTCTAGGCAGTAAGTTCTGTAATTTTTTTTGCAAGTATAATGTCAGCATCTTCTTTACATAAATCCAAAACATCTCAATTAGAGAAAGAGCAAAATATTTTTTTATCAGAAAAATTATTTTCTTGCTCAAGATGGATCATTGCTACTTTATATTCTTTGCAAACTTCATAAAATCTTCAAAACATTCTAGTGAGGCTATTCCATCAGACTTTATAATCTCAAAGTTTTTTTCTACCTTGAATAATTTCTGGTTGAAAATTGTCACCATTTCTGACTGAGAACACTGAAGACTTTTATAATTTTAGGAATCTTAGCAATAATTGGACCAATATCAGAAACCAGGTTCCACTCACTGTTAGATTCATCATGTTCCTTTTCTGTTTTATCATAATCATCTTTCTCTTAAATTAAAACATCATTCATCAAATGAGTTTTTTAAAGTAAATCACAAAAACAAAGATATGTTTGTTTTTATGATATACTTTAAAAAGCGAAACTCTACATTGTCATGTGCAAGACAGACAATGTGAAGTGGACTAGTCTCATTTTCTAAAATTCATAATTACACTTGCACTATTGTTGCTACAATATTCTTGTCCAAATCCAACATAAGTTCAAACAATCTTGATTTAATAATTGAATAGCTTTTTCAGTTTTCTTGCTTCCGCTTACATCATTACAAGTGATTGAAAACCATTTAAACCATGTAAGTTTAGATTCATATAACCAAAATTTTTGACAGAAGTGGATTCATCAAAACTAATAGAAATACAACCTCCTGCTTCTTGAATCTTTCCAATTTCTAGCTCGATATTATATGCTTGCAATAATATCTGTATAATAATATATAATACACAATAATAATATATACACAATAATAGTATATATGCAGTAATAATATAAACGCAATAATAATATATGCTCAATAAAATTTCCAAATAATATATTGTTAATAATTATAATATAATTTACTATCATGGATTATCTTTATCCTGATATGTCTAGAATTATTTTTTAAATTTTTATTTTCAAATATTCAAATAATTTTTCTTAAAATATTCAAATAGTTTTTCTTAAAAACAAGTTCAAAAAAGGTTTTTTTGTAACTCAAGTGGTGTTACCAAACTTGAATTCATCAATGAAATAATGATAAAAGTTGTTTATACTTATGAAACCAAAAATAGAGATTAAGCAACAAAATAGTAGACTTATCTCTTAATTTCATCTCTCAACAGGATAAAGATCCAAAACACACATTGAATTTAGCTACCCAGTGGTTAAAAAAAAAAATAATTTTTTTTTAATGTTAGTTTAACTACCTAAGACCAAGAAGGCCACTAAATATAATCTTCTAACTTTATAGAATTAAATGGTATTAAAAAAATCATATTATTTAATGATATCATTTGATAAATCATGTCATATAAATTGTATAATAATAAATTTTAATGAAATTTATATCAAGCTTTACTTAAAGTTAATAAATAATCAAATCTTGTGCTGTTATTATTACAAATTTATGAAACTTTAAATCCATCAAAACTTGTTTTAGATTTAAATTTAAATGACACACAATAAGTTGCACAAAAAACTTCAAAAAAAACAGTATTTTAATCATAAAACTTTTAAAGTTGCAGAAAATTATTAGCTTCTTGTTAATTATTAGGTATTGATAAATCATTAATTATTAGGTACAATGATGTAGATAATATAGTTAAATAAAGGCATCCTACATATTATTTTGTCGATTATATAACTTTTATGTAAGATATTAATAAAGTTTTTAACAGTTATATAAGTTACATATTACATAATTCTCATATATTTTTGTTATTTATATATGAGATATCATCTAGTTATGATGAACATTTATTACCAAAATGCATGTATGTATATTTTGTTTAAATTTTTGTCTAATTAAATATCTGAATACCTGAATAAAAAGGTAAAACTTTTTTTACTATTAAAAAAGTAAACTACTATCTAAAAAATTTCTTTAACTTGTTAACCTTCATAGTTGTTTTGTTAAATGTGTTTTTGGCTATTGCTGTAGACAATATATCTTTGACTGCAGATGAAAAAGAACAAATAGAAGAAGAAAAAAAAGCTTGTGAAGAACATTTAAAGGAGGTTCATGAAAAGTATTCTCCATCCCATTCAAAGTAGGTTTTTTCAAAGTTGTGAAAGTATATATATACACACACATACATACACACACACACACACACACACACACACATATAACACATACACACATAAATATATATATATACACATACACACATAAATATATATATATATATATATATATATATATATATATATATATATATATATATATATATATATATATATATATATATATATATATATATATATATATAGTATATATATGTATATATATATATATATATATATATATATATATATATATATATATATATATATATATATATGTATATATATATATATATATCAATAGTAAAGGCATTAAATATACAGTTTGTGGTCGAAAATAGCTTGTAGCTTGTTCATGGTTTTAAAACTGACAAAATTAGGGTTAGGTTATAACAAAGCGCATTAATTTAATTGAGGAAACTAAGTTAAATATTTTTTTAAAAAACTACCAAAACGCAAATTAAAAAACTAGAATGTTTTTATTATATTTTTTTTACTGTGAAACATGCGCGGAGTGTTGCTACATCTTATAGCTCATTGCTACAAGGAAGTGGTGCTACATTGGCTATCTTATAGCCTGACTCCCGATGGAGTGTCGTTACATTGACTGAGGGTTTGGTTTGGGCAGGCAGTTTATCAAATAATAATAGAAAAAAATTTTTCAGTCTTCAAAATATTTTAAATATATATATATATATATATATATATATATATATATATATATATATATATATATATATATATATATATATATATATATATATGTATATTTATATATACAGTATTGGACAAAACGCTTGCAACCAACATCAAACAATGCTAAAAATTGTCTTAATTTTACATGTCTTGAAAACAAAACAAACTATTCTACCACAGCAAACAGTTCAGGAGTCTGGAGTTATAGCATGCCAAGACATGAGCAATCAGCTGACAGGTGACAGTACACAAGCAGAATTTCGTTGACTTGTGGAAGCTTCCAGAAGTTTCCAGAAGAAGCATCTGGAAGCATCCAGAAGTATCCAGAAACATTCAGAAGCATCCAGATGCATCCAGAAGCTTCCAGAAGCATCGAAAAGAAGCATCTAGAACAGGCTTGGTCGGGAAGCGGGAGCGATCGCTCTCGATTGCTGACCACGTAAATAATATTTAGTTGCGAAAAGCTGGCCAAATTTTTTAGTCGTTTTGAGAACATTTTAAAAAGCAAAAAAAAAAAAGCGAAGATTAATTGGACCGACGAGAGACAATTACAAAAAAAAAAAAAAAATAGGCAAATAAAATATCTTTAAACGCGAAAAAATTTAAAGCTAAATAAATTACATTTAAAACAAATATTTTCGAAACATCGCTCTTTTATAATTTTTTTTATAAAATTAAGCAATGTTTTTTATAGAAACATCAACTTTTTATAGAAACATACAACCATCAACTTAAAAGATTGTTTAAAAGGAAAACAAATATTCTTTATTTAACTAAGTTTGCAAGTTTTAGTTTTACTTAAGCTTAATTTATTTTATAAATAAAAAAGTTAATTTTTTCAATACCTATTTTATGTTTCGCGTAGTTTGAAAAGTTTAACATATTTAAAGCGATTCTTCTTAGTAAGATAAACAAATGAAATAATTAAATCATCGAATTACTATAAGAATTAAATTATCAAGATAGAAATCAACTAAAAAGGTTAAAAATACTTAATGACCAGGAAGCGAAACTGCTTCACCATATCGCTGATGATGTTTAGTGAGTGGGCTTTTAAATTTTAATTAGTGTTTAAAGCAGAAAAAAGTATAACGAGTTTTAAGAATGGCAACTTAAGCAAAAATAATTAGAGTTAGTAAATCAATATCTAGAAATTTTTCTTTATATCTAATTATTTGCTATATATATTTGTGTTCTGTCGTGACCTCAGGCGCGATGCTTGTTCATCCGCGAGTTACTTTGTATGCGTTGTTTGTGTTTAGTAACCAGAAACTTCTTATATGTTTGTTACATAATTAGTTTTATTAACTTTAACGATTAAAACTTCATTAAAAACACAATTATTTTTTGTAAGTCTTTGTTTAAATCATAAAAATTGCTTTAAAAGATACAATACGATAAAAAATAAATACACAAAATTACATTTACATAAAGAATACAATCTCTTTTAAAATAAAAAATAAGAATATACTAATAAAATCTATGATTTATAATAAACTTTGAAAATTTTAACAATTTAACTAATATATATTTAAAACATTTATTTTCGTAAACAAATAATATAAATTCTTAAAACAATGCTAAAAATCTCAAAACGTAACAAATCGTGAATAATACAATTTCTAAAACATTTTAACAGAATACTCTAGAACTTTATTTCACTTAATCAGCGTATTTTTTGAACCAATAGAATTAGTTTGTTCGTTAATTTGACGGGTTTTTAGTGTTCGCAAACATTCTTTTTATTCTTTCGCACAAAGATGTTTTGAGAACATTCAAGTTTTTTATGTTTCCATGTATGTCCGTAAAACAAAAATTTTTTGTTTCATACATAAACTTAAATGTTCTCAAAACGACTAAAAAACCTGGCCAGTTTTACGCAACTAAATATAATTTCCGTGGTCAGTATTCGAGAGCGATCGCTCCCGCTTCCTGACCAAGCCTGATATATATATATATATATATATATTTAGGGTAAAGTGAGGTTAACTGGGTACAGGTGTTAACTGGGCCACTGGCTGTTCATACTTCTGCAGTTTGAATACACCGCTTTTATTGATGTTTCCCAAACGATCCACTAGGCGGCACTACTTGCTGCTGATTTTGAATGCAAATGGCAGCCATTTTAAAATTTTATTAAGCATTTGTTGTTCTTGGAAGTCACATGTATTGTTTTACTGCAGCGTTAGAAAGTTGATAGAATCTGTGTTTATCAAGTTTTGTGAGTTTTAATAACTGATTTCTGAACTTTAATATAGTGTCTATTTAAATAATTATCACAAATTACGCAAATATTTAAAATACTGGTAAGTTTTTGTAAAAATATGAATTTTGATATAGTGGGGTTAAGTGGGCCGGCTATTCATGTGGTTATATGGGACGGCCCACTTAACCCCACCAATGAAAAATTAATTTAATATAATCATTTAATTAACATTTATACCAACTAATTATGTTTTTTTTTTATTCCAGTTTATAAATAAATTAAATTAAAATGCCCCGTCAACGTCAACGTACCACAACGCACAGATCGTATTCCATTGATGCTTCAAAAACGGCAACTGAAAAAATTATAAAAGGAGAACTATCGATAAGAAAAGCAGCGGCTAGTCATCAGATACCAAAATATACATTAGCCAGGTATGTGCTCAAAGTTAAAAATACACCTGATGGAGTTAAGGTTAATTTTCGACCATCAAATGAACATTTACTCGTTTTCAACTCAAGTGAAGAATTGCTATTGAAAAAATATATTCAAGATGCAGTCAACATGCATCATGGACTTTCATTTACCCAAGTTCGTCGCTTAGCTTTTGAGTTTGCCATAGCAAATAACAAAAACGTGAAATGTAATTGGACAGAAGAAAAAATGGCTGGAATAGAATGGCTGCATTCATTTATGAGACGACAGAGTTTGGCGCTAAGAACCCCCGAACAAACTAGTCTTAGCCGTTGCACTAGTTTCAATAAAACTAATGTTGGAGCATTTTTTTCAAATTTAGAAGGTGTTATTAACCGATTTAATCTACAAGCACAAGACATTTTTAACTTAGATGAGACTGGTCTCACAAGTGTACATAAACCAGTAAAAGTTTTGGCTTTAAAGGGGCAAAAGCAAGTTGTCCAGGCAACATCAGCTGAACGAGGTGTCTTGGTTACAGCATGTTGTATTGTTGGAGCTACAGGAACTGCAATACCTCCATATTTGCTGTTTCCCAGAGT